TCCTGCTGACTTCTAATTGGAGAAGAATACAAATACAGAATAATATTAAATAAGTTATGTCAAACTGGAAATCAACCATTACAAATTTTCTCCCTGTAAAAGAAAGTAGTATCCACATATCCTGTAACATAGATATACAAGGCCCACATTTCAAGGGTTTCCATTTTGTTTTCAGCCAGTATTAAATGAGCATTATGAATGATAACTTTTTAATTTTTTTTTAACTTCACCAGAGAGAGAAAGAGGGAGAGAGGGAGAGAGAGAGAAAGAAAGAGAGGAAAAGTGAGAAAGCAAGCCTCCAGGTCCAGTATTCAAACCGTGTTTGTCCATGTGGGAGTCTAGCGCTTCAACTGCCATGCCACCTGCAGGCCCCTGAATTGTAACTTTTATCATGATTATATCAAAATTGTGAATTGAATTTACGTTTTATGTCTTTAAAATGTTACTATAAAAAGGTTACTAAACAGTATTTAAGAATCTATTGTCTCTGGGGCTGGCGGGTGGCTTGGGGGTTAGGGGTGCTGGGCGCCCACATGGCCAACTACAGATCAAGTCCCAGAGCTGGCGGCTTGCTCTCTCTCTCTCTCTCTCTCTCTCTCTTTCTCTCTCTCTCTCTCTTTCTCTCTCTGTTCCTTTCTGATCAAACTGAAATAAATAAATGAATAAAGTTAAATAAAAATTTTTAAAGAACAAGAATCTATTGTCTATATATGGGGTTGTCAGAAAAATCATGACTTATTTTTTCTATACAAAAAGGCATCATGACTTTTCCAACAACCTAATAATTTTATAGGTCCCTAAAACAATATATTATTTAAATATTCCAGTATGTAAGACTCTTACCTCAGCTCTTTTCAGCATTTCCCATTTATTCAATATTTTCATGGCAAATACCTTATCTGCATTTTTTAGTTTTACTACAGCAACCTATAAAAGATAAAAGAAATATAACTGTTAAAATATGACAAATGCTACCTTTTCTCAGTCATCCATTTTCCTTTTTCCTCTCTGCAAAAAATAATAGTAATAATAATAATAAATAGCCATTATTAATGCTTTCAATGAAGTTCAAATTCTAATATCCTAAATTAAATAATGTTGTCAGGTGAAAAAGACTTATTAGTGAACATGCTGTCAAGCCAGGTAAATTCTGTTTGTAACACTGCATCAACTGGTGGTTATACATGATATCCTCCTTTCCAAGTTTTCTGCCCTTTAAACTGAACATTTACTATGGCTAGTACAACATGAAACAACTAGAGCTTATTAAATAATTCATGCCAGTTCCAACATGATGCTACAGGTAATGCCAGCTGCTAAATAAATATGTTCTATGGGCAAGCCAGCTGGCCTCGTAATTAAGGTAGCCAGATCCTACATGGCTGGCTATGCAGCCTGAGTCTCAGAAACTCGAAAAACATGCCAGGCACATGTACGTGGATGCTTAAAATCTTGAGAAGAGAGCAGAGAAGACTGTGGTCCGGTCATCCTGCCCTGCAGCAAAGGGGGTGGGGGGCTTCACTTTCTCTCTCCAGCAACCATGTGCCCTATAGCAATATGTTCTATAGGGTTCAAATGTTATAAAATAAAATATGATCCTTTCTTCTTTCCTTCCTCCTTCCCTCCCTTCCTTGCTTTAATTTTGCCAGTGGGCACAGGCACTTGCTAGAGATAGAGAGGAGAGTGGGAAGGGATCCCATGGGGGATAGTCATGCCACAATTCCTTCTTTATTTCTCCATTCAGGATTCTGGCCATGCACGCACATGTGCCCAGTGTGTTTTTCTCAAGCCACCAGGTCCAGGATTCAAACTCCACAGTTGGCTATGTGCGATCCAGATGCCTTATCCACCATACCACCAGCTGGCCTGATCCTATTCTTCATACCATATACTCTAATGCACTGTACTACAACCCTCAGCCTCCCATCTCCCTCTCTCTCTCTCTCTTACACACACACACTCTCTCACACAATTCAGAAAGCAATTAAAATGAAGGAGAGGCAGTGTATGTCCCCACTTACTATATACCGAGTATCTGCGCTCTGTGACTGAAACTGATTGACTAAAGGATATAGAAACACAGTATACAGTTGTAAATACCAGATATAGTGTGTGTGAAAGAAGAGGGTCTGAGGAAGGATATTTAGAAGAAAAATAGGGAAGCAAAGCATTAATGACACAAAGAAATGTGGTATTATCTGTTGAAGATATTTTGTAGTTTTATCAACTGTACTAGGGAGAAATGTTCACCTGTTGAAATATCCATTTTGTAAGCCAAATAATAATGTGGTTGAATGTATAAAAGAAAATGAATTTTAAAAATTTTAAGACTAACAGTTTTACAAACCACAGAGGTTAAACACACCTTCTAATGACAGCAGAAAAGAAGAAACACATATTTCTCTATTTTTTATTTCAGTTACAGATCAAAAAACTGTCAAATACAAATAAATCAAGTCCCATTCTCAACCTCAATATATTGATTACATTTTGGCTTCTCTCTGCTTTGGTTTGAATACATAATCCTTAAGGGTGCTTCCAGCTTGTTGGAGTTGGTATGAGGCAAGCTATAAGCTAAAGTACAGAGAAAGAAGCCAATGGTTCAGTCAGGATATTTTCCAGTTGTTGGGGGGCAGGGATGGGGAAAACAAATATTACTCTAATATACAGAAGAAGAGAATGAAGTATATAACAACAGATCTTCAAACAGTTCAAAGGATTGTTTTCCATTATAGAGAATAGGTTTAAAATCAAGTGCCAACATCTAAAATAAATAAATAAATATTCTGTAAAATTAAACATTATTTAAATATAATCATAATAGCAAATGATATTAAGGGTTTTTAATAAGTCCATGTTTAGATTGGAATGTAATAAAATATGACCATATAATCAAAATCAGTATATAATATTGAACATTTCTTGGCATTTGTCATAAATGGTTATACTGACTGAGATTACAGTTTTTCATCAATTAAAACAGTGAGAAGGAAGAGGAAATATACTCAATCTTAAATGCAATCACTTTAGTCTTCAGTCATATCTGGCCATCTCTAGAGAAAAGACGGGTTGGTGAAATCATTCTACCTATGGGCTCCTGCTTTAAAACAGAGATGTACTAAAGAGCAGGGAAAACCTGAAGCACATTTCACTAAGGGCTGTAAAAGGGTGAAAACAAGCTGAGTTATTCTACAGACTCTGACATCTAATGTCTCACAACTCAGAGTAATGCAGACAGAAGAACAGAAGCACTAAACTAGACAGGCCTTTAGGACAAAGAAAAGACATGGAAGACTACCACCTACGCTTCAGAAAAGAATGGCTGAAAAACTCCAATACTTAGGTTCCTTCCCCTCCTCAGGTAATAATGTGAGAAAAGTACTCCTAGTACTGGAGGATTCACCAATTTTCTACACGGATGAGTATATAAATATCTGATAAGCACTGATAATAGTGTGGAAGTAGTAGTACCTACCAGTACATATTGATTACATTTTAAATGCCAAGCATATGTTAAGAGTTTTATACAGATCTGCAATCTTTTATCTGCAATTCTAAAAACCAAAGATTTCCGTAACTCATTTTGAAGTATGTGCTAACATCAGGCTAGTAATAGTTGTTTTTTTCTTTTTAATCTCACTTTGTGTAAAAGACGAGCATGCTTCACTGTGAAAATATGAATGCATCTCTTTACCAAATGTTGCCTCAGTAGGGGTTGTAAAAAATAAATTTTCTAAAAACCAAAAATACTAAAACTAGCACAATCTCTGGATGGCATGGCTGTGCAGTAGGAACAATGATCCTGATACCCAGCATTTACTGAATACTCAAACGTTTAGCTAGCATTTGTTGTGCCTGCTTAGGGGAGTGGTGATAGCATTAACTCTGAGGTCAGACAACCGGGGTTTGAATACTGGTTTTAAAATTAGCTCTATTATTCTGGACAAAAATTTAACCTTTCAGTACTTCAATTTTCTTATCAATATAATGTGATTCATATTATATTTACCTTAAATGATTGTGATAAAGATTAAAATAATTAATACAAGTATAAAGTGTTTACAACAGGGTCTAGCACTTAGTAAGCGTTCAAAAAATGTTAGCCATTGTGTGCCAGGCACTACACTAAGCATTTTATATCCCAAGCTCTTAACTGCTATTTGTTCTACCATTAAAATATTACAAACCGTGTATCTTTCAATTTCTTTCACTATGAAATAAAAGAAACTTTCATCTCAACCTCTTTCTGTAATTATATACAATGACACACACATATACATAGGATAGAAATAGAAACACCCTCAACTAACAATACAGTATCTATATACAAATAAAAACTAAGCCACAACATCCACTGTAGTTGGTTTTCAATAGTAAAATATTAGAACTAATATTCTAAAGGATGAAACTGACTAAATATGATGATACATCACAAAATGATAGAGAAGTATTCATATGCTTGAAAAATTTGTTGAAGGAGTTTTTTTTTCTTTTTCTTCCCCTCCCCCCAAGGGGTGGTGCACTATTCCTGGAAGTACTGCACTGCCAGGTCAATGCATAGAGTTGTCGGAGCAAGCTGCTATTCCATCTCCTATTTCCAACATCCATTTAATATATTGTCCTCAAATAGAAGACGTATCAGACATTAAGCTGATGAGAACAGATACTATACTTAATCTTAGCCAAAAGGCTAAGAAGCGATAAAGGACATTTTTTAATGGGAAAAAGTTCACAGTATAAAATAAATAAAACAAAGATGTTTGAACACTAATTTTTTTTCTGTGTACTTACATAAAATATGTACCATAAAATTCTATGCCTTCTGTATATACAGTTAGAAGAATATGCACCAAGATATGAGAAGATCAGGTATTTTATTTCTATTTGCATTTCTACATTTTCTGTATGAAACATACAAAATTTGAAACTTGGGATGGGATAATGTGGAATAGCATATTTCATCCTGGTCATGAAATGATCATTAATTATTAAGCTACTGTAGTGACTGATAAGGGCCAACATGAGACCCATTCTACACATTTGCATGTGGGAACCAGAAATTCCATGCTGCTGTGTAGGGGCAAGAACATTCTTGGGGACCAGCAGTTAGCATAATGGCTATGCCACTGGACTCCCACATAGTTGACCATGGTTCGAGTCCCGGATCTGGTGGCTTAAACTCACACTGGGCACGTGTATGTATGTGGCCAAGATCCTGAGAGGAGAATGGAGGGGAAGGGATTGCAGCGTGGCCATCCCCCCCTGGGGGGGTGATTTCTCGCTTTCTGTCTCTCTGGTGAGTGCACACGCCCCAGAGAAAAAAACCTCTCCCAAAGGGAAAAAAAAAAAAAAAAAAGAACATTCTCAATGCTAACTTTCAACACTTTAATGAGCCACCTAAAAATTTTTCTAAAATAAGATAGATGATAAAATAAAAGTTCAGGAAATATTCTTGAATTAGCAAATTGATAACAATAAAAAAAATGAAGTTTGCAAAGTGATAAAACTGATCTTGTTTTCCTCATTTAACACTACAAATCAATTTCACGTTCATTTCAATAAACTAAAACTAAGAAAAAGAGCATTCTCTTTGAACTATACCTTCAAGATGCTATATTTTCAAGAACTATAGCTAACCACATGTAGAATTAAAATGCCATTTCCTATTTAATTTGATCAAAATGAAAAGTACATGTATATTTAGTATGCACTAGAAGATTATAAACTTAAGATGGAACGAAGATATTCTAAAACAGTATAAAAATGTCTTTAAAGGCATTACAGTAAAAAGCATATGTCAGAAAAACTACAGAAATGCTCAGTATGTGACAAAGGTATACAAATTGGTTCTTAAACACAATTTAAGTATTATCTTATACAGCTATAGCCTATAACTCATAACTGATCATGCTATACTAAATAGGATTGTAATATCCAAGAAACAGTTGCCACGGAGTTGTGCAAATCTAGTTTACTTTCAGTATTTGCAGAATTCACCACACCTCCTCTGTTGTATCCTCTTCCGAGCTACCATCATAACTTGCTTGTACTGTCTACCTCTCTGCTCTACCTCCACCCTGACCTCCCACAATCTGTTCTCAACACTGCAGCAACATTGATCCTGTTGAAACATAACTCAGATCACAACACTCCTCCAAAACTTCTAACGGTTTCTCATCTGCCTCCAAGTCAAAGTCAAAGTCCTTCCTATAAACTGTAAGGCCAACATGCTATGATCACATATATTCTCTCCCAAGCTCACTGTGATCCAGCCACAACAGTCACCTTGCTCAGTCTCAACTCAGGGCCTTTGCACTGCTGTTCCACAGGCCTGGCTCTACCCTATAGGGTCACATGGCTTACTCCCACACTCCCTTGCATAACTGTCATTCCACTTCTCCATAGTTTCTATCCCATTTCTTTGCTTCCTCTTTCTCTTAGTATCATTATTTAATAAACTATATATTCTATTTATGTGTTTTGTTATTGTTTGCCTCACTCATACACTTCAAGAGTGCTGGGATATTTTTTCTCATTTGTTCACTATCCAGATATGCCTGGTGCTTGCCAATCAATAACTCTCCAATAAATATTTTCTAAATAAATGGTAATTTATAATTTACATAGGTGTACATACATGGATAGTCAGCTGATACTAATACTCAAAAATAAAACACTATGGGGAACCAGCAGTTAGCGTAATGGCTATGTCGCTGGACTCCCATGTAGTCGACCACAGTTCGCGTCCCGGACCTGGTGGCTTAAAACTCACAGTGGATGCGTGTGCGTGCGTGCCCAGGATCCCGAGAGGAGAATGGAGGAGATGGGATTGTGGCGTGACCATCCCCTCTGGGGGGTGATTTCTCGCTTTCTGTCTCTATGTCTCTCTCTGTCTGGTGAGCACACGTGTCCTATAGTGAAAATCTCTCCAAAATAAATAAATTAATTAATTAAATAAAGCACTAAGATGAATGAGTTATCTTTTACAACTTATTAAGTATGTATCAGATTATTCCAGCTCATGCCGCTCTCAAAACAGGCTTTCAAAGTCTCAACTCAGCCTCTATTATCTTTTGTATATTATTGTTCACAATGTTTTTTTTCTTTGTCTGCTTTTCATCTTCCTTGTATAACTACCTATAATAATTCATAACAGTAAAAGAATAAAAAAAAATTTATTTATAGAGAGCTTACTCTGTATTGGGGTACTGGACTAAGCACATTACATATCCTTGCAGCAATCTAAAGTAGATTCTGTGGGATCAGCAGGTGGCATAAGTGTTACATCACTGGACTCCCACGTAGGCCATCATGGTTCGAGTCTCAGCTTAAAAAACTCACAGCAGCTTAAAAAACTCATGCTGGGCATGTGTGCACATGTGCCGAAAATCCCCAGAGAAGAAAGGAAAAGGGATCACAGCTTGTCCAACTCCCACCCCCACCCCGGGAGGCAGTTTCTCACTTTGTCTCTCTGTCCCTCTCTGTGTCTCCAGTGAGCACACATACCTTATAGCTACAATCTCTTTAAAAAATAATAATAAAATAGGTTCTGTAATCCCCATTTTAAAAATTACTAAGCTGGGCCAGCCCATGTATGGTGGATAAGGCAGCTAGACCTCACATGGCCAACTATGTGGTTCGAGTTCCGGACTTAGCAGCTTGCAAATGTGCCAAGTGCATGTACGTGTGTACCCAAAATGCCAAGAGGAGAGTGAAGGAGAAAGAAATAGTAGCCATCCTCTTGTGAGGATCCCCCTGTCCCACTCCCATCTCTCTCTTGCAAGTGTACATAATCTCTAGCAAATTTTTAAAAAAGAAAAATTACTAAACTAAGATTTGGAGAAGTTAATTAACATATTCATGGTCACACAATTAACATGTACAGTCTACAAGAAGTTCACAAAAAATGTAAATCATGAGAAAAGTAGGCTTAGATTTCAAAATTTCAGAATTATGTTGCACCAAAATAAATTCAGACTTGAACTACATTTCTCCACTATCTTTGTAAAGTCTTTGTACTAATAAGATAGTGCCTGACTATCTTATTACAGAGCTAGTGTTCTTTACTACTGTACGTACTAACTAGTTCTGTAGGTCCTGAAGAGTTCTTTCCATTCATCATGTCTATGATTTTGATATCTACTAACATGTTAATGGAGTAATTCTAGTATGTGTGGAAATCACTGTAGTGTTTTCTTAAAAATCATTCTCTTAGTAATTCAAAATATTTATTAAAAATGAAAACCACTAAGTTTCTTTAACAAGCAAACCAAAAAACACTACAAAAGAGTTTACTAAACAATCAAAGGTATACCATTCTGTGGAAACGCATACCCCTCTCTGTGGAGGCTCAATTCATATACACTACAGCAATTTTCAAAATATTTAAAAACCGCTAGACCATGGGCAACCAATTAGAATAGATACTGGGTATAAAAATACAGTATGCCCACACTCGTGTGCCCCTAGGCACTGAAGACTAGCACCATCATGCAGTATAACTTCAAACTTCTTCTACTCTCCCATGAATCCCAAGAGAGCCAGAGTAAAAGAGTTTTTAAAGAAGAATGAATGGCTAAAGGTAACTCTCCTTTCAGACCCTAGGACTAGATTATGCAGACACATAAGGGCCTAGTTATAGTAATTAGAGGAAGCAAGCTAATTAAAAGCTTTTGACACCTGAAGCAGGGGTAGCAGGCCAAAGCAGCAAGCTTTCACAACAAGCTCTGAAGCCCAGAAGCCTTGAAGCTGCCGGAGCAAGGCTGGAGCAGGCAGAAGCGGTGAGCCACCAGGAAACTGTGGACAGGCAACACCCAGGGCGTAAGTTAAAGGTTTTCCTGAAAGCAAAAAGGAAAACCCAGCGTTAAGTTAAGCAGTAACGGACAACAACTGAGTTGTAGAGAGAAGATTCTTAATTCATAGAGCTTCTGAGTTTCAATTATATCTTGCTCCTTATTGATTTCTTACAGGAATTATAAAAAATTATGCTTTCACTTTTATGGTTCGTTTTTTTAAGAAAAAGCTAACAGAAATGCTGCAGTTAGATATCCATGCCAGAAGGTAAGCCTATCTACTGGGCCTAGATACCTATTTTCAAATTGATAGAAGACAAAATACCTTGAAGGAAATAGTGACATCGTTAGGGTCTTTGCATTTTAAACCTATTAGTTGATAAATGTCACAGGGTTTGAAAACCCAGCACAGATACTTAACCATGAATGAATGACTAAAGAGTAAAGTTCATAATTCAGCCAATACTAATCTTCTACACAAAATTAACTCTGTTTTAAAATAGCAGAGTAAATTATCAGCAATCTTTTTGGTGCTTTTATTACACAAACTTTAATCAGTATACATATAGGACACGATCACACCAAAAGAAAGAAAAAAGTAAGACATCTTCTCAAACTAAATTTCAAATATTATCAGTCATGCATTAAATACTCTGACTTGACCCAGAAGCCTAAATGGTACTGGCCTGAAACCAGACAGGACTTATCCCTAGTTGACTCAGTGTGGAATTGCTGTCTGCTACCACCAGTTCCCTAGCCCTGCACCCCATGCTTCAATTCTTCCAAGCACTAAAGGTCTAGAACCACAACAAAAAGTCTAGAACAAAATTTGGTTGTGCTTAACTATCTGCATTACTTTTCCTAATGAGTAACTACAAGTAATTCTCCAATTCACTGTCCTTTTAAGCAC